ATATATGAAATGATCACGATGATGCACAGTACTCTGTGTAACTAATATATGTTGATAAATAGCTCCTGAAAATAAAAAAGCAAATTATTCATTTGCATTAGAGCAGGGATGACCTTTGATATCATTATACTGAATAAAAGAATATACTTATATGCACAGTGCTGTGACTCAATTTGTGTGAATACAAATACAGATTGGAAAGACTTACAGCAATGGGAAAAATTAGTAGTTGCTAAAGTTCAAGGATTGTTTAAAAGCAGAGAGGTGAGGTAAATAAGCACAAAGATATTTAGAGAGATGGTAAAAAGTGTCCTAAGGTTGTGATAGTTTCTCTACAGTTATATCAATGCACTGAAAACCTTTGAATCATATACATTAGACTTTGTTATAAAGTATGCAAATTGTACCTCAATAAAGGTGTTCTTAAAATATAATTATACAACATTCAGAAAGTGCAGTGTTGAACATAACAGGAAACTAAACCCAGGATACCTTTCAACAAGGTAGGGTCTGTTGTTGTTGTTGTTGTTGTTGTTGTTTCTTTTTCTTTTTTCCCCATGTGGACACTGTAGAGTATGTCAGGGTTACAAGAACTGCTAGTGACTTTCTGGATAAGACTCCACCCAGTTCTTCTCAGTGCCTGAATGAGCATTCTTCTAAAGAAGGGAAATACTGATTAATAATTTCAATACAAATGTTTTTGCTTTCATATCAGGAACTGAAAAATCCCTAAAATCTGAGGGCACAAATCTTCAAATTGTTAGTTTCTTAGCATTTCTTATGAAATATAAACCATTGTCTCATAATAAATTGCATAAATTTCTCAATCAATATTTATATAAATGATCATTCTCCAAGCCCCAAAATCATATGCCTGTTAACTTTAACAACCCACCCCTGAGCAACTACAAAAATCAAAGAAAAGCAATTTCCTGCCCATTTCTCCTTCTCAGCCACTACCATATAAACAAAGCAAATCAGAAAATAAAAGAAATTCACTGATTAATCATACTGTTCATGCCTGAAAATGTATGACCCTCAAAATTCAGATGTTGCCATTTAATCACCAATGTCATGCTATTAGGATGGTAGCCATTTTGAAGATGAGCAGATTATGAAGACAAACCACCTTGAATAAGATTAATTCTCTTACACAAAGAGACCCCAAAGAGTAATCCTTTCCCCCTTTTTGAATGAGTTTATAGCAAAAGAGATCTGTTTACAAGGCAGAAAACAAGTTTCCAGCAGACATCAAACTTGTTGGTACCATGGGTTTCATAGCCTTTAGATCTATGAGAAATGTGTTTGTTTTTCATAAACTACTTACTTCGTTTGGCATTTTGTTTTTGCTGCTGATGGAGACCAAGATCATTAGGAATAACCTGCGACAGGTTTATTGGTAAGAGGACTTGAACAAACTGGGTGGTTCCACTTCAGTGTCCCTAAGTAGATAGATTCAATATTTAATCTTCATATGTTCTTCCCAACACAATGCCGAACCTGGTGCTTTAGAGTTACTATTCCTGAAAGGTTTTTGTCCCTTGGTATTGTGCCTTCTTCAAAAAATGACTAACATGTTCTACTCCTAAGAGTTACAATAGTCAGGGAATCGATCCAACGACTGTTCTGGGTGGTAGAATGCCTTAAGTACTCATCCAAACAGCAGATTGCTCAGAACTGTGACAGCAATTGATTCCTTTTGCAGCAGGCTCTTACCATCTGGGCTAGTTCTGTTCACAGTGGACAAAGCCTTTTCACAATCACAGATAAAGCTACAAAACATAATTCAAAAAGAAGCAATGACCTCTAACTTTCCTTTCTGTCATTTATCCAAACCGCTCAGTGTGAAAACTTCATCAGAATCTTCAATCACCTTTGTTTTCCCCTCATAGACAACAATTTCTGACAGGTTTTTACAGTTACTTTGTAATACTCATTCCTCTTTTCCAATCCTTCTTCTGTCCCTTTGCTACAGGTCTTTGTTACTACAAACCTGCATTATTGAAATCATCTCCAGACATAATTTCTGCTTTCTAGACATATTTAGTGTCTCTATGGATGCTCTTTAGCAGTGTTCTTTAAACTTATCCACTACAGGATAAAACCACTTGTGCTGGCTTGAGTGAGAAATGTCCCCAATAGACTAGCAGAGTTCAGTACTTGTTTCTCAGTTGGTGACACCGATTGAGGGGTGCTAGGACCATGCTGCAGGAAGGGCAGCACCAGAGCTGGGCTTTGAGATTACACAGGTTCACTGATTGAGGGGGTGTTGGGACCATGCTAGAGGAAGGGCATCACCAGGGCGGGGCTTTGAGATTATACAGGTTCACTCTGCTTCCAGACTGTTCTCTCTGCTTTGTGTTTGCAGTAGAGATATGATTTCTCAGCTCCCTCTTCTTGCCATCATGCCCACTGCTTGCTGCTATTATTCCCACCATGATAGACTCTTATCCTTCCAGAACTACAAACCAAAACACACTGCTCTAGTTCTAAATTGACCAGTTTACCATTTCTAAAAGGATTTAAATGCTATATTATATGTGGAGGAAAAAACTGACAAAATTTAATTGATTAATTAACTAAATTATATAATTATAACCATTTTATAAGTGTAAATTGTTCTGTCATGCCCCGACCTTGTCATCCTTTCTGCCCTTTCTCTGCTTACAACATTTCCATCCTATCTTATCAGTCCCATTTTAGTTTCTTTGACTTCAGATTCACCCTCTCCCTTCTGTCTTCATGAGCCCATCAGATTGCAAAAGGTGATGATTTTTCTGCCTCATTGTCAAAGACCATCCAGTGCATAAACCACCAAGGTAGCTAATCAAGGTCAAACTACCCATTAAAAAATGTCATCCCAAGTACCTTCTCACTGGATAATGGATCAGACTCTGGTCTATCACCTCTTAAAGGACACCTAGCTGTTCATTTCAACTCCCATCTACCCAGAATTCCATCCTGGATAGACATTTCTACACATTCATCCCAGCCCATCCCATGACGGCCTTTGTCCTTTGAATAAGGCGAAACTTCTTTGGTTCACCTTGTTTAGGGGGCACTTTCATCCCGCACTCCCTCCACAAATGAAAATTTAGTCATAGCAGCTTATTTGTACGTTGTCAACCAGATTGAATTTTTCTTCATTGCAATAATAGCTTGTACTATTATGCAATCTTATGTTATCAAACAGGGGCTAATATGTGGGCACTCTCAGTGGGTCTCCGGTTTTGTCTAGCCATTCGGAAAATACCTGATAACAATAATGTCTCTGAGCTGTACAACTTATCTCTATACATTTTCCTGTACGAGGAAGACCCATAAAATCAGAAGCTTGTTGTATCTATGGAAAAAGGAAAGGCAGAAGAGAATGAGGGCAAGGAAGCAGGCTCCTCTAGCTCCAAAGACAAATGTACAGAATGTGGCACTGTACACACTGATGTAAAATTTTCCAATAAGAAACTCCAAACATAGCTTGGCAGTGGTAGTACACCCCTTTAACCCCAGAGGCAGGCAGAGCTCTCTGAGTTTGAGGCCAGCCTGGTCTACAGAACGAGTTCCAGAAGCCAGGGCTATATAGAGAAACACTGTCTTGAGAAGCATAAAAAAATTTTCAAAAAACAAAAACAAGAAAATAAACAAAAACATTCCAAAATATTGCATGTTTCAAGTCCTCCAAAACACACACACATACATGCGCGCACACACACACACACACACACACACACACAACATATATCATATATCATATTTCATAATCTCCATCCTAGAACAGGCTACATGAACCTTCTGAGAGTTTTTCTGCTGCAGTTATAGTAGCCCTGACTTGTTTACCCTTGAAATTGACTGAAATTTAACTGCAGCTATCATTCTGACTCCAGAAAAATCTTAAGATTAACAGATACAAAAGAAACAAGAAATATCCTGGTGGTTTGAGTAGGGAGAAAAAAGCACATGTAAATTCAATGTTAAGTCTTACTCCTGGAAACCCAATATCAAATGAGACCCAGTGAGAAAAGAAAATGTCCTTTCATTTTTGCTTTAAACAACAACTCCATAACAATGAGGCCTTTGGAGGCCAGTGATGCCTGTCCTCTGGATATTGTGAGGGACACAGAGGAAAGAGCTTCTCTGAAAGTGGGAAGCTTCAGTGATTTCCTTCCTGTTCTTCCCCCTGTGGTGGCCATGTTTCTGAGATAGATGCCAAAAACTTATTGAAGGAGCCAGTCATGTAAAACACATGGTTTTAAGTCAACCCCATTAAATAAAATATTATTTATAGACTAAAGTTTAAGAAAGGAGAGAGAGAGAGAGAGAGAGAGAGATTAAGAGAGAGAGAGAGAGAGAGAAAGAGAGAGAGAAAGGAGGAAGAAAGGAAGGAATAGTAAATGAAAGAAGGGCAGGAGGGAGAGAGGGAAAAAGGGTGGGAGGAAGGAAAGAAATAAGAAAATAAGAAAAGGGTGAAAAAGAAATCACTTGTCTAGGAGTTGTGATTAATATTTCTCTTAAGAGTTAAATCCCTTACCTGAGCAGGATGTGGTTGCCCATGGCTTTAATCTCAGCACATGGGAGCAGAGTTAGGGGATCTTTTCAGGGAAAAGCTAGAATGAGGGTGGGGGCTAGGGAAGTAATGGCTAAATAATTCAGTGGTTAAAAGCACTGATTGCTCTTCTAGAAGACCTAGGTTCAGTTCTCACCACCCACAGGCAGCTCACAACTTCAGTATCCTCACACAAACATGCATGCAAGCAAGACAACAATGCACCTAAAATTAAAAAAAAATTATAAAAAAGCCAGCTTGGTTTACATAGAAGGTTCCAGGCCAGCAAGGGGTACATAGTTAGACAAAATTGTGTCCAACAAAACAAAACACAAACAAAAAATCAAACAAACAAAAAAAAGCAATTCCCTAACCTGAATTGTGAGCTCAGTCCTATTTTTCACCTTTATTTTTGTATTAATACAACAAGCACAAATGGAGAGTATGCTTCAATAAAGATACACACAGGTAACTAGTCTTAGTTTATTACAGCATCACCATTATTAAAGTCCTTTATTATCACAAGGAAAAGTGAAGGCCAATTTTGATGCATTAGTGTTTTACTGTAATACACATATTTTAAAATAAAACAAGCATCAGGGGTTCTTTAGAGCTGTGCAGCATGTTGCACTTATTTCTCTGATTGCTCTATTACTTGGCAATTATATTCCAGTTGGGTGCCCCCTTTCCAGTCTTGTTTAAAGTCTCTTTCTCAAAATAGCTGGAGCAATGCCCCTCCCCCATCATAGCCAAACATTCCTAATGGGGAAAAAAAAATACAAAGAAGTAAAAGTTAGAAGTCTTGGTTTCCAAAGTAACATCTGAAATTCAGGGATTGGTTTATTTCAAGTAAAGGATCTGTTCTAAAAATAGTAAAACATACAGAAAAAAAAACTTATTTGGTCATATAGTTCTACTTCATTTTCATGAGCAATCAATCAATCAATCAATAAAGCAAGCAAGCAAGCTAAATTTACAAGCAAGTACTGTTTGTACTGGAGAAGCCCAGCCCAATGTGTCTTCTCCATAGAGCCCCAAATCAGCCTCTCAGAAGTAGACACCCCACAGGCTTACTGAGATGATTCTGTTGCAATGGATTATAATACTCGTTCCCACTTTAGGGTAAAGCAAAAGAAACCAAATAGAGGCTTTGTTCAGTTTAACAAATAAAATAATGGCTTCGTCTGACAGGACAGTCTTTTCTCCCTGTTTATAAACACAAGGGGGAAGTCTTACCGGGAAAGTTGGCAATTAAAAAAAAAAGATGCAGAGAGATTTTCAAAACAGCAGGTGCAGACATTGGAAAGATACAGCTGAAAGGGATGGGGGAGTGAAAAATCTCCGTGTGATTGCTTGAAAAAGAAACCATTATTCAACAGAAAATTTAAAGTTCAGAAATAAAGCAAACCTCTTGATGCCCTCTCACCTAGCTAGAAATGTACATTCAAACGAAGCACCAAAAGAATATTCTTCTCTGGGGTGGGGGTGGGGCAGCAAAAATAACTGCAGGGAAAGAACGCTTGGGGGGTGGGGGGAATTGAGAGGACACAAAGCTGGTTTTACACTCAATATTCTGGGGCTGGAACGAATTAACCCTCTAGATTCTGAGACTCCACAGAGATTGCCCTCTCCTTTGGGTATCCCTCTGAGATCAAGATCTTAGGTAGGTAGTGGGGAAGTGTTGAAATCCTTGGCACGGAGAGCCCAGAGTTCTGCTAAATTTGTGTGTGCGCACAGAATGTTCCAGAGAATAAATCCGGGCATTATCAGGATATGTTAAACAAAGCTGTTCCACGATCGAAAGGGGAAAGGGTGAATTGAGAAAATTTGCATCCTATGCTTAAAATTGCCCTTTTAGGTTCCCCCAGGACGCACCGCAGGAATTGAAAGCACTTTGGAGCTGTTTTGCTCTTTGTCTTCTCTAAGTGCCCCCACGACAACACTTCCATAGAAGTTTCTAAGTCTCCACCCTCTTGCACAAACTCAAACTTCTCTACTAGTTCCCGGATGCTATGAGAGGTGAGGTGAAGGAACCTGGATGCTGCAAACCCAAGGCAGGATGCTCTGGCAGAGCTCATTGCTAGAAACAAAACTGAGGATGGGGCGAGCCATCCTGGGCATCTTAGTACCCTCAGTGCGCCCTCCCTGGCCAGCAGTGGGAGCCTCCTGAAGTTGACACATGGCCTTGCCAGAACTTACAGAAAGGCCAACAAACTGTAGGAATAAAACTCTTCTTTCCAAATAGTCTGATTGTCAATTTCTTTGGTGAGTGCTAACACCAGTACAGGAAACCATCCATAAGCCTTCCTAGCTCTTTCCCATGGGCCAGGCCTACTTATAAGTCCACTCCAACAGACACCTTTGCCACTTGATTTTGAGTTCAAAAAAAAAAAAATACAGACAGTGGGTGTTGCACGAGGGTGGGGAATCTTTTGCTATTCAACAAGGTAAAGTTTTCTAGCGCACCATAACCCAAAGTAGTTCCACCTGTTTTTCCAGACCAGCAATGAGTGCATGGAGACCAGGTTAAACCGTGCAGATTGACACCCAGTGGGAAGGAACAGATGTTTCTAGAGCAAGAGGAAGGGAGAGACAGAACAGTCTTGAACCTCAAAGGTCCAGAAGTAGGGCAGAGAGTGACAGCTCTAGTGGGCATGGCAGATGTCCATACAGTTTGGATTTTCTGTTGGGGTTTTCTGACTTGAATCATCGAGGTTTAAACTTCCATCATGAAGAATTGGATTTCAAATAGGGAGGCAATTATTGCAACTATAAAAACTGATCCTAGGACCAAAGACTGAGCCGATAACTTTTCACACAGACTCTAGGGGTTCTCTAGGATTTCTGCAAAGAGCATTGTCCCCTTGAAATGAGACATAGAGAGAGCAAGATCTGAAAGCCTTGGGCTACAAAGCTGCGTGTTCTAAGAAAAGCAAGTTATCTTAGGTGTTGCTTCCGGGTCGGGGATATTGAGTGAATGGAGAGGGTCCTGTAAGCCCTACACTCTTCCTCCTCTTTTCTTTCTCCATCACCACCACTATTATCGCCGCCATCATCATCATCATCATCATCATCGGCGGCAGAACTTGCACTTTATGATCTTCTTAAAAGCGTTTTGAAAGTCTTTGTTGAAATAAGCATAAATAACTGGGTTGAGCAGGGAGTTGGAATAGCCTAGCCAGTTAATTATGTCACGCAACAACGGAGGCATGTGGCAACTGCTCTCACAGAAAGGCAGGACCAGGGCCACAATGAAAAACGGCAGCCAGCATAGGATGAAGGTGCCCATGATAATGCCCAGCGTCTTCACTGTCTTCCTCTCACGGGCCAAGGCCATCTTGCGCTTTGCCTCAGCATTGCGCTCATTTTTTCTCTCCAAGCAGGCGGGGGCATAGGAGGTAGCTCCTGACTCGCTGGGCAGAGGAAGGTGCCCTTTGGAGTTGCCCACTCGGTGCACCTCGATCACCTCCAGGGAAGCTTCATCGTCACCCTGCCTCACCGCCCCATTAGCGCACGGTGTCCCCAACGCCCTGTTCTCAGCACTGCGCCTACAGTCCCCACTACCTGGCTGTCCGTTCAGGCTCTTCTTGGGGGGCGGGGCTGACGATGTGCCGGAGCTGGTGCCTACTCCCTTCTTTTCCACCTTCTTGACAGTCTTTCGGATTCGGAAGCGCGCGGCTCTGAAGATGCGCCCATAGAGAACCAGCATGAGCAACAGCGGGATATAGAAAGCCCCGAAAGTGGAATAGATGGTATAGCCGTGGTCCTTGCTGATGGTGCACGCGTCGGGGTTCGAGCGGTCTTCCGGGGTGCGCCAGCCCAGCATGGGCGGGATGGAGATGAGAAAGCCAATGAGCCAAGTGAGTGAGATCAGCGCAGCGGCGCGCCGGGGCGTCCTCTTGTTCACGTAGTCTATAGGGTCGGTGATCGCCCAGTACCTGTCTAGCGCGATGGCGCACAGGTGCAGGATAGACGAGGTGCAGCACAGCACATCCAGGGCGATAAACAGGTCGCAAGTGACCTGTCCCAGGGTCCACTTGTTGAGCACCTGGTACAGAGCAGCCATGGGCAGCACCAGCACTGACACCATGAGATCGGTGACTGCCAAGGAGCCGATGAGATAGTTGGCCACATTCTGGAGGGAGCGCTCCAAGGCAATGGCAGCAACCACACAGGCATTGCCGAGTACCGCGCAGAAAATGAGCGTACCCAGCAACAGAGAGGTGATCACTTGGTAGCTGAAGGTCACGTCGGAGATGTCAGTATCGTTGCCGCCTGTCCCGAAGGGCTCCTGGGACACTGTGGTGTTGTTGCCCTGGCCAAGACTGAACATATCCATGCCTGCCTGCACTCCCGCTGGGATGGGGGAAGGGAGGGGAAAAGAACTGCAAGGGGATCTCCCTCACCCCTCCCTCTAGGGTCTTTCTTCTTTTCTGGGGAGTTTCAGAGGGAAGGGATCCAGAGACGGGAGCGGGAAGTTCTTACTTGCTCTGGCGAAGGCATCTGAAGGGAGCACTCACCAGCACTCTCTTGCTTGGCTCCCGCGGGTCCTGAGCACTTAGAGGTTCCAGCTAGGAAACTGTAGTTGGGCTGAAAACAGCTTCCAAATCTCTGGGTGCTGGAGAGATGGCTGCAATATCTGTCTCACACTGCCCATTTCACTTTGTCGCTGCTGCCCAACTGGCTGCAGGAGCCGGACTCTCCCGAATACCAAACAGTCTCAGAAGTCTCTGGATTCCAGAAACCTCAGCCTCCCGGGTCACTCCGTGACCCTCATCTCCTAGTTCCTTCTCTCTCTCTCTCTCGGTCTCTCCAGCCTTCTCCAGTCTGCTTTTCTTTTTCCAGCCTCCTCCCAGCTTCCTCCCACTGGCCTTCCCTTCCAGTTCCCCTTTCCGTCTCACCTCTCTTTCTTTAGTCCTGTGTGTCGCTCAGACAGCTAGTCTCCCCTCCTCCCACGCTAACCCCCACCGCCATCCAACACTTCCCCAGTCCCGAGTGCCTCCTTCTCCTGGGTCCCCGCCCTCCTCTCCCTCTAGCTAGGCGTCTTTACATTCGAGTCGACACACTTAGAACTCACTTCATACATCTACTCCTATCTGCGATCTGCGAGTCAAACCAATGTTTTAACAGATTAAACCCCGCCTCCTACCTAGCAAACTAGAGGGGAATAAAAAAAGAGGGGAAAAAGGAAATGAAAATAAAAAAGAGAAAGATATATTTTCCCACCGCACATTCCCTTTATTTCCTCCAGCTTTTTAAATAGAGCCAGGTTCACAGTATGGCTCTAAGAAACAAGGAAAAACCTTCAGAAACCCTGAAAGTTGGAAAGCTGGCAGCCCACCTTCTAAATTCTGACCTCTAAATTATCGGGTAGAGAATAATCAGGTCTTGGCTTCTAAAAACAAACAAACAAACAAACAAAATCCAAAAAACAAAAAAAAAACAGGCTCATTTAAAGTATTAACCTATGCTGGGGCACTGGTGCCTATGACATTTTCATATTATCCTTGTGGGATGGGGGTGGGGGATTATAAAGGACAGGAGCTGAAAACAGTCGAATCTCAAAGAAAACATTAAAAATTCAAGTAGGTGTGCATTCTAAACTCGTGCGCGCGCACGGGCACACACACACACACACACACACATTTCAGTCACAACTACTCTCTCATATTAGTGATATTTGCACCTCCCATAGATTTGTAGCAAATAAATTCATGGAAAGAAATGCTTGTCTACGTATTGTTAACAAAGGCCTTCTTTTTCTACGGACTTAGGCTTCTCTCACTAGAGTCTGCAAACCTCCAGGGAACTTGGTGGCATCCCTTGTCTCCAGCAACTGCGAATCTCTCTGAAATTGGGTTCAGCACCCGGGACAGCTCTGTGCAATAAGGGCTTGCTTATGCCGCCACCTTCCGGCAAGTGCTTCAGAACACCATCTAGAAATGTTTGTCTTAAAGAAATTAAGCATGTATTAAAGGAAACCCAAAGACTGGAAGATACCCATTCTCAACTGATGGATCATGACCCAATCGGTAAACCTCTGCCTCCAAAATTACTTACATTACAATTCATAACAGTAGCAAAATTATAGTTAGGAAGTAGCAACAAAATTAATTTTATGGTCGGGGATGGGGGTCACCACAACATGAGGAATTGTGCTAAAGAATCACAACATTAAGAAGGCTAGAATACTATAAAATAAATAAAATCCATTAAATGTCACATTAATTTTTTCTTCAACCATTTCTTTTCTTTGTCTTGGGTTTTTATACCAAACCTGGTATATGTTCTAGCTTTCTTTGAAAGCTTATGACATCTATCATTCACAAATTCTATAGAAAAAATGGCAGACAATGCTTTCAGCTATTTTTGTTGTGGTGCTACTGCTTGTGCCATAGGGCTCACATGCTTTATTGGGGCAGGGTGGCAGTATTACCTTTTCCATAAGGAAATGACTTAATACTGAAAATTAGAGACATCTAGGAGTTTGTTTTAAGATGCCTTTATTTTTGAAAAAAAAAACAATTGAACACAAAGACTGGCACCTCTAATTAATCAGAATAAAAACAGCACACAAAAAGATCTACTTAGGAGATTCTGATTGCATACATGAAGTGAAGAAGTTATAATGGAATTCTCAGAGCAGCCAATTCTAGAAAACAGGCAAGGACTCATGACAAATTGCAATCGTCTTACTGTTGTGTTCAAACATGAGCTTTGAATGTCATAGTTTTGAAGTCTTAAAACCAAAGACTAAAGAGTAATCACTAAAGCACCAAAAAAAGTCCAGTTGGGCAGACATATACAATACAGGGCTGTGTACCTGAAGATGGATTGACGTGGGCACAGACCCTGCTTCATCATTTCAGGATAGGAAAACACTGAAGCTGTCATAGTGTGATGATTCATAACACTGATCAAAACAGCAAGTGTACACAGCAAGACAGACTCTGAGAAATGCTTTTAAAACCATGTGGACATGTAAGTTATTCTAGTAAAATCCCTTACAAAACAGAGTTAAAATGTTTATTAAAATACAGTTCCAACTGCAGAGATCATAATGGACACTTAACATCTATAACTTCCAAGGACAAAATTTTTAAAAAGTAGCTAAGACTACAGAGTAAAAGAAGAAACATTTATATTCAAAAAGCAAATATGTACATATCAAGAACCAACTTGAATACAAATGTGTCAGACTTAGCATATGTAATTATGTAAGTCACAAATCAGGAAACATGTTAGTCAGCAATTATCTTTTGTGTACTGGATCCTAATTGGTTTAATAGCTAACAAACTTATATTTCGTTTTCAATAAAATTAAAGTGCTGCCGGGCGGTGGTGGAGCAAGCCTTTAATCCCAGCACTTGGGAGGCAGAGGCAGGCGGATTTTTGAGTTCGAGGCCAGCCTGGTCTACAGAGTGAGTTCCAGGACAGCCAGGGCTACACAGAGAAACCCTGTCTCAAAAAACAAAAACAAAAAACAAAACAAAAAACAAAACAAAAAAATTAAAAAAAAATTAAAGTGCTTTGAGTCTGGAGTTTATATTTATAAAGTCTTGAAATTGAAATTGTTTTTATATCTTAATATGATCAAGTATCATATGTTTAATACGGCAGAGTGTGCCAATTATAATTCATGTTTAGGAAATTCCCAAGTAGTTCATATTCATCCTCAAATTAATGTACATGGTACATCAAACATTTGATTTCTTAAAATGTAGATTTGTAGAATCTTTTCTGGATTTTTTGATGCTGGGAAGAATGGACATGTAGTGCTATGGTTCTACAGCTTTTAGATAACTAATAATTTTATGAATTTTTCGTTGTTATTAAATGTATAATACTGTTATATATAATAAAAGCAGACCAGAATTGCATTTCTACATGCTCGCAATTAGCAAATTCTTTTGTATTTAACATTTAAGAAATACAGAAGCTAGACAGGTATGGTCTAGCCACAATCTTTAATCCCAGCATTTCCTTCTGGAGGTAGAGGCAGGCAGATCTCTGAGAGTTCTAGGCAAGCCTGTTGAGGTAAGGACCAAGCAGAGATATGTACTAAGACTGTACATTCTACTGCTGTAAAAATCACTGTGATCATCATCATCATCATCACCATCACCGTCATTCAGTTTGAAGTAATGCAGAAGATGGGACTGATTAAATGGTGCAAAATTACCCAGACAGACTTAAGCTCGTTCTTCAAGACTTCTGAAGTAAACAGGGAAAAATCTTGCTTTCTAGTAGTTATTACCGATATGATTTCCAGACAAATATATCAATCACTCTGCTTTTATTTCTAGCTTGAATTTACTAGAATCAAGCCAGAACTTGTCAGGTTATAGATTTGTGTGCCATATGTCATCCATCATGGGCAATTTCTCTGAGATACTTTATGAGAGATAAATATTATTTAACATTTTAACAGGAAATTTGATCCAAGCCCAGGATTTTAATGTAGTTCTTTGGCCAGGAGTATAAGACAAAAAGATTTTAAGTTGAGGCTTTTCTGTGGTCATTGCTGAAGTTGGGATTCACCAATAATTGCTTAACCATCACCCCCCCCCAATTATAGTAAAGCTTTTTAAGGAAGAAAGAAACTATATGCAAACTAGGTAAAATTGGACTTGCAAAGGTGATCTTGAAAGTTCCTTTTTGAAAAGAAAAAAAAATGGTTTAGTTCCTTGACACTGGAATAGACTATCTAAAACTAAAATTACTATTCTAAACTAAATGCTTTCTGATTCTTAAATACCAAAGTAGTAAAACTATTAATTACTCCAAAACCATAAGTTTTGACTGGAAATCACTAAGAAAATGAGGTTTAGATAAAAAATTTTGTTTAGATAATTTGAGAATTAAGGTTTTCTCATTACTCAAAATTTACAAGAAGCTCAAATAAACTAAGAGTAAAATATTTAAGACTGAGCTCAGTTTCTTGTGTCTAATCCTCATCATCCATCTTCCTCTGAAAATGTCACATCCTCACTGTTCTCTTCCCATCATGCACTTCTTGTCTTATCAGAAGGGACCTGGGAGCTCAGTAGTAAAGTACAGAGTCTCTTTGTCTCCTAAATAATCAAATGAGTGCAAACACAATCAAATGAGATAATGCACTTGGTTAACCCAAGATAATCTTTAGTGAAACTTGAGAGCTAATAATTACAGTAATGTAAAGTAATAATACTGTCTCTCTAGTAATAATTTCTCAGAAATGTGGAAAGAGAGCTAGGTATGCATAGTGAGAAAGTAAGAACCTGTAAAATAAAACAAAGGAGGCCTTATTCAATAGGAATGCATTATAAAGACAACTTCCATGCGGATGTTATTCACCTCTATTTCTTAGAAAATTATTAACTTGCAAAGTCTCTAGGAAATTGTATTTATAAAGTGATCATTAAATCTGAAGATATCGAAAAGGAAAATCAAACACTACTATGGAAGTTCAATAATTGACATTGAGTAAGGGTCTGCCCCATCTCCAGGAGCTCAACAATATTCATTTCAAAGCATGAAGTAAACAACTAAAGTTTAAAGTGTAAAGCTGACAGCCAAAAAATAAAAATAAAAATAAAAATAAATAAAATAAATAAATAAATAAATAACCCAAGACATTTTACAAAAGAATCCACCCAGTAAAAGCTGGAAGTAGTGTTTTCATTGTGAGAACTTATTAGATCACAGCAATTGGTATTAATAGATGTACTTTTCAGGGGGCTATAAAGATGGCTCAGTGGTTAAGAGCACTGACTGCTCTTCCAGAGGTCCTGAGTTCAATTCCCAGCAACCACATGGTGGCTCACAACCATCTGTAATGGGATCCAATGCCTACTTCTGACATGCAGGTGTACATGCAGATAGAGCACTCACATACATAAAATAAATAAATA